CCACCGCCGTGGGTACAGGAGTGGGGGTCCCGCAAACCAGCGCGCTCAGACCACAGGTGAGGGCGGCTTTTTGTGTGTTTTGTCCTTATTTGTATTTTGACAATTATGTATTTAATTGTCCTTCGTGTATCCCAACCTTGTGATGCATGCTTACAAATACTGGAATTAGGTCACGTGCCTAATGCATACTTTAAGTAGGCTTGCTCTGGGATATACGGTCCGAATGAAATTAATTTCCCTCTTTTCGACTGTTTTAACCTGATCTTAGATTTAGCTCACACGGATATTGTGTTCTCATCCGCTGCGGCGATGAAATACCTATCCAGTGGGGCCGTTTTGAGTCACCAATCGTTTGGCAATGACGATTGAGCCTTACGGTATGCGCTTAACAGTGCTTTGGTATTCCTATAGGGTAACGCCTAGCTAGGAGCATGCGCATCGAGTGCTTCCACCTTGTTGTTTACTTCCGCTGGTCGGAAGGAACACTAGCAGTCATGTTCGGGTTGTAGGTGCTCCCCACCGCCTACTGTGGTAGTCAGCCTCGGTATAACAGTGGTAACGTATTACTTAATGTAATTTGTAGAATTTTCCTATTCGGAATATTCTATAAGTAATACGTTACCACTGGGCTGCTGCCCGCCCGTCCGTCCCCCGAGCACTTGCTCTCGCAAGAGACAAGAGTGAAGGGTGTCACATGGCAGCTGGGTGGCTATGCACGTGCTGCATGAGGTAATTGAGATCTCTGTGGTAGATTTCGCTTTAGCAGCAGTTGTGGGAGACAACACCCTTGATATAACAGTGGTAACGTATTACTTATAGAATATTCCGAATAGGAAAATTCTACAAAACTTGGATGTTGAAGGGCATCAAGAAGACCAAAGGATCAGCCCCTAACTACAAATCGCCCATCACTCCAAACATGCTACTGCTACTGCTAAGTTCATGTGTGTTTTCTTGCGGTTTTGCTTGTGTACTTCTTTAGACTATTGATACACAGCAATGTTACTGCGGGATCTGTATCTGCAAAATATGCTAAGTCAGTGGGCTGATCAGATGTGAGATTTGCTAAAAAGGGGGCGGTTTTGTGCGTGCGATCCTCAAAAACCATACACTTCAACAACAGATGCCATTATGTGACGCTACCCCTGTATCCAGGGCATCCCCTGTGTCCAACCACGGCACTTGTTCGTTTCTTTCAGGTTGCTGGCTCAGTACCCCACAGCTCCAACTTTCACTGTGTCGGCAAAGATACAATTGACTACGTACAGTGAACAGTTTTCGCTCATGTCTGTGACGTGCCTTAACCGCACAAGGACTCTCTGTGTACGATTGTAGTGCTCATAGCCTTCGCCGAGGGGGTGCGACGAGGTTGCTTCTGCGTGGAGTGCCAATTGAGACTATCAAGGTCCTTGGTGATTTGCGATCAGACTCTGTGTTTGCTTATCTTAAAATGCCAGCTGAGGGACAATATAATCTTTTGCACTGTTCCTATACCATCCATAACCTATAACATGTTAAATTGTTAACTTGTTTTCCTTACCACTACAAAATTTTGGGTTGGGAGTTTCTCATGCTTATTTATGACATTTCATGTAGCAAAGTTTGCCAAGATATTGTTTGTCTTGCATCATCAACCAACTTGTATTAAATTAGTTTGTATCAGAAACCAACTGTCATTTTGTGTAGTTTATCTATGCTTTGCGTGTTTCTGCATTTATAGTATGCTGCTGTTACCTGTTTATGGTCTGTTACCTTTGGGGTCTTCCCATTCATAATTTGTAATTTCTATCGCTCGTTTGTGGCTCTAGTCACAGTAATTTACGGGCGTGTTCCCGCCATTTTTTCTTTTTCCCACTTTTATGCTCCAGAAAAGCATGCCGCCTGTGCTCCAGAAAAGCGATGCGACATGCCCTCCCGACGCCACATGCACTCCCGACGCCACGTGCACTCCTGACACCACGTGCATTCCGACGCCACGTGCACTCCCGACGCCATGTGCGCTCCCAAAGCCACGTGCGCTCCAGACATATGTCAGCTTTGGCCCCTCAGGCACTTGCTACACAGCTCCAGCGTTGCCATCGGCAATTGCCTCACCGGCGCCACTGGCACCTCCTCCTATTACTGACACTCATAGATGGTCACAACGGATCGACAAGGTAACCACATCTTTTCAATTGTCGCCACTCTTGTAGCTGCTCTCCAGTACGTCGTTGAGATCGTGACTATCGTTCAGATTCCTGGGAGGAATCTTTTCAAACCAGTAGACATTTGGACTGATTCAACTTGCCAACTGGTTGTCTGGACGAGGTTTTGTTTTGCAACGTTCTCCTTAACCCCGTCTTTTAAAGCGCCAGAAGAGATGACCTGCAGGTTCACTCCTTGGATGAAGCTGAAGGAGCTCACATGTTTGTTGAAGCTGTTTCTTCAAAGCCTCCTACGAGCCGCTTGGCCGAGACGTGCTAGGTTTCCATCAAAACATGGCTTCTGGTGGACAGCGTCTGTATTAGAACTGGCAGATTTTCACTGTTCACGCTCATTTAGCCTGTTTGACCCCATGGTCAAAGTCTACGGGTACCCACTTCTCGGGATAATCGTTGACTGGTCAGGACAAGGCATCTCCCATATCACGGTGTTCATTTTTGCTCTACACCGGCACTGCCATATGATGACGACATCCACTGTCTTCTTCGTCGACATCGCCAGCACCAACACTACTCTACCCTGCCTTAGCGCCAGAATTCCATAAAGAGGCTCTTCACTGTGCTCCCGGGTTTACTTGTATGCATGGTGCAACCACTCGACCAGATGCCCATCCATGTGCAGAGGATGGAATTGGGATACCTCCGCTACCAACATTGCTGTCGGGAGGCACCACGTTTCATCGCCCCCTTGCTATAAGAACTAGCGCTTATATAGCGTTCAAGGGATGGAACTTTGTATGGTATGATCTTTCAGACTACAACTTTTATATATCTTCAGCCTTGGCTACCAGATACAGCTTCGGTGTTCTAATTCTTTCCACAACTACATGCTGAGTATCATGTTTCCTTCCTTCATTGTTAACTCGATATAAGATTTGGAGTGCTTATACGACACACAGGGGATGGAAATGATTTCATTACTTCGTGCAGTACGGTGCGATCTTCCAGAACCACAGTTTTCCAGATTTCCGCCTTATCTTATGGACATTGCTTCAACTTCTGACTAACCAGTGAAGTCGATGCCTCTGCAGTCGGTTGTGGAGCGGGTATATTTCGTCTACATGAGGTTTGGTTCTTCCACTGCCGCTTCCACTTTGTCAGTGGCCTCAAGATAAAGCACTTATCCTGGCCACCACTTGCTGGCAGAGCATTCTAGGTCACGCCCTGTTGATCATATCCATGGACAACATCACCATGGTGTGGTGTTTGAGGAACCAGGGTACTCTCCACTGTCCATCCCTGCTAAACCAGACCTTCTGCTTCTTCGACTTGCTGGTCAGCCTGGACCTGTAATTTCTCATATAGCACTCATGAGAGCATGTTCTGTCACAAGCTCTGTCCAGGCCAGACATGGTGGCTCCCTCGGGTAGTAGCTCCACTCAGATGTGTTCACCTTGACCTGCCAAAAGATGCCGGATCCATCAGCTATGGCAGTCAATGCCCTCAGCGTTCCCAGTGTTACACCCACACAGCAGATTGCTGTTTTTGTATGCACACCTGATGCTTCTGCCGAATGCCTTAGGAGCCATGAACTACTCGGCTTGAACGGCCAAGGCTATTGCTTCAGTCTGTTTTTTGTCTACACGGGGACTGTATGTCGACAAAGGGTGCTCCTTCCAGGCCCCCTGCTCAGACAAACACCAGGATCATTTGACAGCGTCACTGCAGTTTCTCCTTTATTTGTGCAGCACACTTTGGTTGAAGGGCTCTACCATCTCTACATACCTGGTCGCCATTAACTCTGTGCTTTCCGTCTCGGTTGATCCCCAAAACGGTTCGAACACAGTAATCATGGCATTGTGTGTCTTGGGTTGTGCTGGGACTTCATTGCCAAGAATCAACTCTGAGGACAGCCTGAATTATCATTCACCATCCTCACCTCTCGTCCATTGTGGGTGCCGATGAAGAGGCGGAGCTTTTATTATGCCCTGTTAGGGCATTGAAGGTTTTCCTACGACGGTCTAAAGTCTGCCTCTCTGGTGTTTATCACCCCAGACTAGAGGGCTCTCCGGCATTCCACATTGGCTCTCGAGAATGGTAGTAGATGTTGACACTGATGCCACTGATTCTTAGATACCCAAAGTGGGGCCCTTCGAACTCTCTGGTGTTGATCACGCCAGATTAGAGGGCTCTACTGTGTTCCGCATTCGCTCTTAGGTCAGTTGTAGCTTTTGGCTATTTGCCTCATTCTATTTCTGTCACCTATTTGGGTTTTTCCTTTTTGCATCGACTCTTCCTGAATACAGGAATGGTCATAGATGTTCCGGTCATCACTTGTATGCATGTGGACTTTGACAAGGGTTTATTATGGATCACATCTGAAGGTATGCCCATCAGCCGTGCCGTCTGATAAAGATGCAATACGGAGTTATGCAGGAGTTAAACTTTTGTGTAAAATCTAAATATTTTTTGCATTTGTATACTTATCCTGCAACACGAGGAGGTTTCAGATGTTATGTTTAAAGCAGTTTTGTGTTTTGATGTCACGTCATGACTTCCGGGTCACGCGCTGACTGTGAGAGGGCGCTGCTTCCTGTACTGGTTGGAACAACTTTTCTTCAGCAGCTGGATCTCACACAGTTCATCTCTCTGTCAGAAAACAGCAGTAAATGCATTAAGTAGTAATGCAGGATAAGTATACAAATGTAAAAAATGTTTAGATTTTACTAATTTTTTTATTCTTACGTGTGAATCAACAAAACATGTTCTTGAATGAAGATACTAAAATTAGGTAATTAGTTGAAATGTGTCTGACTTTCCTGTATGGAAGAATGTTTAACTGAAATGTTTTATTTACAGTCCAGAGAACTGGTCTTCATTTTGCAAAGTATGCGTGGATGTGTAGCCCAGCTTGATCGCACTCATGAAGTCCTTGTAGGTTCACTGATGGTAAGTATATTTGATACCTCACTGATCTTAATTTAAAACACAGTATATCCAGTCTACCATGACAAAATCATTTGCAAACTCTTTGGTGTCAGTGATAATACGAAGTTAAGCAACATGGGTTGAGGCCATTGTTTTTGAGTATGTATATTATCTAAGTTTAGGAAACAAGTTAAAAGACTTTATTTATAGCATTTTGTTTTACAATTATATACTTTTCTTTTTATATTTAATCATCATTGAGTGTGTGTTGCACAACTACTTCATGAGCAAACCTTAAAGGGACAGTCCGTCGACGGTTCTGTGTGTTTTTAAATCATGCATGAAATAATTTCTGAGTGTGCCCGATTCAGTTTTTTGGACGAGTCCACACATTTAGATAAATATACTTTATGAGATGTTTAACTTTTATTGAGAAAATATCCTAAAATTTGAAAAACTATTTCCATTTGCGTATTTGTGCTCCATATCCTGTCATCGAAGCCCCATGGTGTGCTCCTGATAGTCACTTTATTATTAAGTAGGGCAAAGCTATGTTGTCATGCACCTCATATCAGGCTAGTAATGAAATGGAGCTTTGCGCCTGTAACATGTTCATTGTTAAATATCTGATACTGCTTCAGCCTATGTTTGACCTACAGGTTCCTTCTCTTGTTGACACCCACCATATTTTGTTCAAATTATTGTGATTTTGTTGCTAGTGACTTTGTTAAAGAACCACTTGTTCTCAAGAACCACTTGCTGTATGAATGTTAATGGCTGTAAGTAGATTCAAGTTAGTTCAAGTCATGATCACCAAACTTCAGCTTCGTGCACAGAGACCATGCACAGAGACCATGCGCAGAAACCATGCACAGAGACCATGCGCGGCACGGAGACCATGCACAGAGACCATGCACAGAGACCATGATGACTATGTATATCACCGAATGCTGGTCATACAAGCTAAGACGGATGAAACAGTTCTGTGCATGTTGCAAAGAGATCCATATGTGCTGTGTCCCATACTGACGTTGTTGATATTTTACCTGTGTTTAAGTAATGATGACTTACTGAATACAGTCCGGCCTCTGCAATGTCAGAAAAGTCCAGTTTATGAATAGGGGTGTTAAGTTTCGTATTTCCCAGATATTTTCACAATTATTTTCACACCAATTATGTATAGGGGAATGTCTGAGTAACTCTCCATTCCTTAAAAATAATGGAGCAGAAGCCCCGCAGGGGCCGAGGCACATTATTTTTAAGGAATGGAGAATTACGAGGATATTCCCCTACTTAAAACTCATCCCTACTTTTACACTTTGACAAAATATTATGTTGTGGAAAATATTTGAAAAATAAACCAGAACTCTTTGTTGTCTGTATTTATACTGCGTGAGTCGCCCTTGCGTGATGCATGAGGAATGCGTTCTCTGCCGCTGTTGCACGTGCGCCAAGCTCCATCGCGAGCTGACATTTACAATGCATGGTTCACGGCTGTTCATAATTTTGTTGGGTCCTAAACTTGTATTTATCAATCGCTTGCACATTGTCAATACATGCTGAAGGGAATAATAGGAAATATAGAGCCCCGAACAAAGATATATATATTACCTGATTTGTATTTTCTCGTCAAAGGTTTATCTAATTGCTATAAATATGAACATTGTTGTAGGTAACCTGCTCTAACACAAACTATATACATATTATTTTGAGCTTTAGAGCATTATGCAAAATTATGAAAATATTTAATAGTTAATTTCACAACATACCTTCATGTGCCGCCGTAGCTGAGGTTGACAATTACAGGTTTTCAATTCAAAGGATGCGGGTTCAAATCCCGCATGCGACACATGTTTTCGGAAAAATATATGAAATTATTCACTTGTCAATAAATGTAAAAAATAGTTCCGTCTATTCCAAGTGGAAATTAATTAAAATGTTGGTTCAAGATAATGTTTAGTATAGTTGACAAACAACTCTCCATTCCTGAAAAATAATGGAGCGTTCAAACAATAGGATGATGTCACAGATGTGTTTTAACTGTACCTCTTTTCCCCAAATCAATTGTCTTATCTCTCTAACTTTTGTATGCGATCATTCAGCCATTGTTTTCATCTGTGTTGCCCAGGTACATCTTTGGGGAACAACACACTAGACACTCCCCTCTCATCTGTTCAAATCTTCAGAAATGACGTCATGATAGAACAATATGTCATCATGAAATAAACCACATTTTGTTTTTCACTGTTCTTTGCGATTTATTGTGTAGCCATCTGATATCAGCAAATATTATGGTAATTCTAGTGAAGGTATATCTTTTAACTTTTCCTGCATTATACTCCTTAATGCATTTACTGCTTATTTTGGACAGAAACAAAGATGTGAAAGGTTGAGGCTGATGAAAAGATTGTTCTAACCAGTTGTGAAGCCTACCCTCTCATAGCTGCTACATGATCAAACAGAAGTGATGATGTAACAGATCTCCATATTGCTGCTTGTCACAGGAAAGACTTGTGTTTATAAATGGTCTTCAACTTTTTGGCTTAATTCTGTCTTTAAAATTTTGCTTCCATCCAAATTTCTTCCCTGCAAGAAGTGGAGAATATAATATTTATGTGTGTATTTGTATAATAACATAATATAATATAATAGTTCACTAAGAGACAATTGTCTTAATTCTTCTCGAGTTGATGCTCTAATCCACCATGCAGAAGTTTCTTTGTCAGTTGCTGGCCTGGTATTTATTATTGATATAATTACCTGCAGCCACCAATTTATTCTGAATTATACTTTAGGTTATTTCCCTGTAATCTTGTTTTTGTTACAACTCCACTTAAATTGTATATTATTTATGCTTGCATTTTATACCATCAGCTGTGGTAAGAAGTCAGCCAAGGAACCTCACCCATGGTGTCTTAACAGCACTCAAATTTGTATGTTGGGTTTGAAGTGTAACTTTTGTTCCCTTCTCTCACCGTCAAACTTTAATAGGTTCAGGCAGGTATCACATAAGCCCCTTGCTCAGCAGTCCTTGTGGCACGCTAGGAGGATGTCGGACTATCACGTACTGGCAGTCTGCGTCTCCATTTATGGATCCAAGGTGGGGTAGGCAATGAACCCTCGGACAGTCACGACTGGGATTTTCCATCCAAAGCCATGCCAATACACCTTTCTCACGCAGCGGCCATTAAAAGTGAGATCCACTTTCGGGCTAGCAGTCTCCTAGAGATATGTCACACGGACCATCCCTACCACAGTGGACTAGGAGTCTGAATGCTTTGCCAATATTAAAGTCATCTGATATATACTACTCAAAAGAAGTTAAGGATCACCCGATTCTTTCATAATGGTAAAGTTAATCTGTCATGACATGAGAGATTAACTATAGTGATATGAAAGAATTCGGACTCCAATGAGCCATGTATAAGAAGGGATAGAGCATTCTTTTGTTGAATTCACAGAAACTACTGGTAGATGATAACGTGTATAGCCTATCTATCATGTAATATATTCATATAGAAAAAAAGATCACCCCCCCCCCCCCTCTCTCTCTCTCTCAATCTCTCTAATACAACTGTTATGCGTCGCCTAGGACTACACTACTGCCTAAAAGTTCATTCCCCTAACACGCGTTGAGAATTTAGATGCGAGTTTATTGCTAGGGGAACCCCCGTGTTGACACGATTGTCGCGGGTTGGTAAATGTTCGCCATTAATAAAATGATTGTTTGTGGATTTGCGAACATATTCATTTGCCCACACGAGTCATTCCATTTGATTGCAAATATAACATTTTTCGTTCGCCAAATTTATGCTTTAGACAGTACAATTATGATATAGCCGTCACCACTACTAATGTCTCATTATTTCACGTAGGAATATGTCCCATTTCCCCACACCCCACTTTCTTTTTTGTATTTTGAAAGAATAAATAAAAGAAGGTTTTGTGTGGGACACTTTTATACTAATTATAAGAGGATGTTGTAAATGAATATGAACAGCCATGCTGTCTGACTGTTGATAAAATTTGAGATCTTCACAATCACCGGGTGTGACCATGTAGACAGAATCTCGTTAGGGTTTGTGATTTTTACATTTGCCCAATGACCATAGTGAGTATTGCTGGGGATACCAAACGTAACAGTTTATTATTAGAGGTTGTGAGTACCTATACCACGTAGATAGGATATATTTAGGATTTTAATCCTTCTTTGAGAGGCATTTAGAAGTTGGAGTACTACGTTAGGATAAGATTTATGGGTGACTTTAATCCTTTCTTTCTCTGTGGGTAATCCTTTCACGTTGATTGGAGGAAGTCACTCAACCAGGTCATGACAGGTCGTGAGTTTACTCACTAACTACTGTGAGCGTTTTTGGCATAACATCTTTTCTTGTATAAACATAGAAACGATGCTCACTCACTGTTAATCTTCTGCAGTTTGCTGGCAAAGTGGGGATAAACCTCAGTGTCAAAGACGATCAAACTTAGTTCGAATCCTTGTTTATATGTGACATCTCCAAAATGGGGACATGTTCATAAACTTGGCAAGTGATGATGAATTTTCATATTAATATTATTATAGTTTATGAAATTGTTAATAAAACTTTAATAAAATTGTGCTTCACTCTCACGAAAAATATATTGTCTGTGAGTAAATTTATATGTCACGTTTCATCAGCATTTTTCAGTGATATTGGGACTACATGAAACATGGCTGGTTTTACATTTCTGATACAGGTGCTTGACTGACTGAGTAGTTCATGATCAATTAGATATGTTTAAATCAGTCAAGTTTGCAACAATAGATGAATAAGTTGATACATTTGGACCGCAGTTACCGATTAACAACTTAAGACATAGAGACAGGGAGGAGATATATAACCAAACCTATGGTCCTGTTGAGACAGTTGACAGTTAGAACGTTGGATTAAATGACAGTAACTAATTTGAACATTCCCCAGTAATATCATAAAATACATCATAACTCATAACAGTCCGAGAAACAGCTTCCAGCCATATAC